AAAATATCTATTAAAGGTGCAGGTGACATAGCTGCATACTGAGAACTGCTAGATTTTACAGACATTCCTACCCTAGTCTGAGCAATCAAAGAAGATGAGAGCTTTGAAGTCAAAAGTAAACTGCATTAATGGTTGGCAGCAATGAAATCAGCTGCTCAACTATTTTGAGGAGTTCCAGAACTATTTTTGGAGGGAAAAAAAGCACAAACTAAAAATGGACTAAATTTTAAAAAACCCACTCCTTTAAAAAGATACAGGGCATCTATTCGGGAATCCGTAGTTATACCAAGGGCACATTAAATGGATGCACTAAACCTCCATTAATAATATCGAAAGCTAGAAACCATAGTAAAAGTTAAGCATATACAAAAGCATCACATTCAGAATAGAAAGAAGTGTATTAAAATTCTTTGACTAACAGACAAGCTGTTTGAAACTCTGACCTAAAAAAAAAAAAAAAAAGGTCTTTTTCTATCTGAACACAAGCTGTATATTAAACAGTCTATTTTGCTTTGAAGTATATTCTGCTTTCACATTTCTGTTCTCAGAAGACTGGAGTTAACCCACCAAATATAAAAAAACAGACTTAGATATTTTTTCTTTTAAAATCAGACCTTTCCTGCTCTGACCTGAACACGCAAGCCAGCATTCATGGCAAATGTTCATTACTAACGCTCCTTAAATTTGCCTAGCTTTTGAACCACACAAAACAGGTATATTCTCATACTTCCAGCGTGGCAACAACAGACTCATCTGCTGCCAAAACAACAGACACTCTACAAAGACATCTAGCAGCCACAGGGCCTTTCTGCATCTAGCAAAAGCTCATTAGTGTAGTGTACAGTACAAGTCAGACTTCCAAAGTCTTTTGCCTGGAAGAATAGAGAACTGTGTTCCTAAAACTCAGTATGAAATATAAAAAGAATTTGATGCTTAGAAGTACCCCAGGCAAACCCACGCTTGTCAAATCTGGAGAGTCACATTTAAAAAATGACATATCAGCACAGGAAAAATTTCTTTGAAACACTGTAAAATGAAACTAGAAGGAGATAAAGATCTATTGAAACTAATTGTACATCTTTGGACATGATCTGCAAGTAAGGAAACAGAAAACAAAAAACCGGCAGACATTTGAAGTAGAAATAACAGTGATGCTAATAATGAGTCAAGTAGTCAGACGAAGGCTATCAAATAAATTAACAGGTCTGTATACTGCAGCTTCAACAGAAAAAAGTGAAACCAACACTGATGAAGTCTCCATTTGATGGACTGGATTTTTAAAGGCTTGGGAACACTGTGAGAGAGAAAGAAACCATGAGGAACTTTAAAAGCAGTTTAAGTAGGCTGCACACCAAATCTTCAAAATGGGAAATAGAGTTCCCTAATGGACCATGCCTCTGATACTCACTAGCCACGTGCATTTTAGAGATTTCACAGTCCAATCTATCCTCATCTCCAAATCACAGGTTTCAAACAACAAAGATCACTAACAAAAGAGCTTAGAAGTTAGTATTGAATTTAGACATGGCACATGGAAGCACAGGAATCCATGAAAGGTAGCCAAGGTCTCCACCCCAATAAATGTAAAGAAAATTGCATTTAACCTAGTCTTTGTGGTAAATGAGAGCAGCATACAAAGTTTAACATATTTGAAGTGTCTCATAAGAGAATATCTCAAAACAAAAAAGTACCTGGTAAGAAAGTACCAGATACACCATGTCTTGAAGTTCAAGGCAACCAGGATCATACTATGCCATACTCTGCAAATGGCTGAAAGAAAAGATGCAGCAGTTACTCATGCTAGTTTATTCTTAAGATCATAATGAGATCATTTGACTTCTGAGGCACACCAGAAACTTTACAAGTTTCAATCTGCATGTCTGCAGTTCCTGGAGATCTAAGTTGAGGCAGCAGGGGTCTAACTAATAAAAAAACCCAAGTGTTTTTTGAGACAAGCTGTATCTATTATTTACACAGGTCAGAATGTCAGAAGGGACAATATGGCTCTAGTATAACTGCAGGACTTAATTCCAAATGCAAATGCTCACTGCAAAATCCAGAGTACAGGAGAAACATCAAAAGTCATTATGTATTTATATTATATTAACTTCAAGGATATTGTACTGAAGAGACAGTCGTACAAGCAATGTAAGTCACTCTAAATACAAGGAAAAATAAGTTTCTTAAACAATAAAGAGAGAAATCTCACCTTGTTTAATCTGAAATTATTTTCTTTGAGCTAACAGAACAGCAAGATATGGCTCGATCAAGTTGGTTTTAAGAAAATGAGTCCTACTTATGATAATCTCCAAAATAAAAAGATTCCTGACAGATCATTCATACTTTGGATCAGTCTACTAGAAAGGAGGAGGGGGAAAAAAGTTCCTATTTGTCACTTTTGACAATGATGCATTCTGCAACACTACAAAAACTAGTTCTACGTACATTTTAATGCATCCTAGACTAAGTAGAGTCTATATTAAAAGATTGACTGATCTGAAAATTAATATCTGAGATGAGGTTCATAAAGTATTCTTTATTAATATCATTAGAAGTTGCAGAAACAACTTTCTTGTAATATAAAGGCACAGGGAGACAGTTTTGATAAAATATTCCAATCAAACAGTAACTTACAGTACAAAAGGACAATTGTAATGCACATACAAACCCCAAACATCTCATTCAAAAATATTTCACCGTGTTCATCAATAATAATGGGCAATGACTAAAAATATAAATTGTTATTGTACAATAAATATCTGATAGGTGCAAACAGAACAAGATTTATTGCTCTCCACAATGTTTTCCCTGTAGTGTGGGGGTTTTTTTTAAAGTTTCAAATTCCTTCTATAATCGGCTTTAGTAACGTATTTCTGAGGGAACTAAACCCCAACCCAAATCTGATAGGACATTCTGACAGTTACAGAACTGCCTCAAGTAGCAAACCAGAATGGGTAGTGTTTGTTTCTTTTACATCTTTAACAATCATACTCCACTCGCTCATTGGGAAATGTGGTAGATGTTTAAATATCAACTTTAGTGTTAAGTCAAGGCTTTTATGGTAGGGTAATATTACCTAATCTGAGGGTTAGTCTGTTTTCTTCAAATAAGTGGATTTTCTGATGGAAAATGACATGAACCTTCTCTGACAGCTTGTGCCAGAGCAAACATGTAAAACCATTTGTCAAATGAGGGGAAGGGAGAAATGAAAATGAAAAGCTGCATTGGGCATTCTAACTTCAGAAAATGAGACAACAGATTGGGAGCAAATTAGGACTACATAGGCAAAGAAGACTTAAAGTGAGAATTTCAAATTCCAAAATATCCTTAATATAGTCATCTAAGAAATCAAAAAACACTCTGCATCTTTATATGACTCCACTTTTTTTCAGCTTTCAGAAAGAAGAGCCAGTCAGTGAGTTTGCCATTTTCCTCACCTTGCACTTGCAGCAATTTGGTAAAGCGACAGTTTCCATCAGTCTTCTGATGCAGTATGAGAGGCGTACTAACTCTGCTCTTCAAAGTAGCACACACTGCCTTGCTCAGAATTCTTTTTAGCTTGTACAAAATATTGTTTCATACACGCATTTAAGAAATATTAGTTTCCTTCATTAGTGTTACAGGAAGCAATATGCATACATTTCCTAAGAGTATCTTTATGAATTAGACTTCAGGAAAATGAAGCATTATAGTAGTTGTAAAAACTGTAATTTATAAGAACAACTCCAGATTTACACAAACCTCAACAAGTCAATTTTAACTGCACTGGGAAGAGTTAAAACTTAGTTCAAGAAAGGTGTCTAGAGTGAATACAGCTTAATCAATTTAGCTGGTAAACCAAAACATGAATAGTCAGTAAACTCCATTACACTTGAATTCAACAGAACTGGGAATGATGTAAAACAATCTGCTAACTTTCTAGACGTTATTATTCAAATTAGGGTTTTCTTCTAGCATAAGCACATAGTTTTAGAAGTTCTTCAAAGAGTAACCAAGGACCAGTCAAATTTGAATTTTGAGAATTATTAGCTTCACTACAGTATAGCATTTTTTCTTTACTATTTGTTTAGAAACTAATAAACAAAACCATTTTCTTTGGTTTATGCTTAACTACACTGGACTAGTGAATTCTTGTTTTTAGACAAGCTTCTATCCCCAATTTAAATTAATACAGATCTTTTTATTGTAGTCTCTCTCCAATTCTCAAATTATCTCTGTTAAAAATAAGAGTTTGCTTATACCATGATTTCCTGCTAAACAGTCATGTGTATATACTGGCATGAAGGGTAAAAGTTTTGTACAATAATTATATTAAGTGATATTTCCAATGGCAGAACTACAAAAGACATCAAATGAATGTTAGTTCAAATGACATTTGATTTTATGATGATCTTAAAAAAATACACAATGTGTAAGTATAGTAAAATACAGTGTAAAACCCCCTAAAATTAGACAGTAAACATGGGAATCCTGCACTCACAGTAGGAATGTACTGCACATCATCAACATGAAAGCCCGTTAAGTTTGAAACAATGCAGACAGCTAGGTTTACCTGGATGTAAATGCCACGTCAAGGTGTTTAAACAAACACAAAAATGAGACAATGATGTCAGGAAAAAGGCCTTTAAAACAGGCCATCAGTCTAACTTGACTTTCCAAGTAAGAACATCAGCTTCACAAAACTGTGACACTAATGCAGTTTTATGTAAAGTACCCTTTGACACACAAGCTGTCAACTAAGCTATCACAGTCTTTTTGACCTACTCCCTTTTAAATAGTTAGGGAGGACAGTCAATAGTAGCTCAAGTTTTAATTCTGTAAGTACCTTGTCTGTTTGCAAAGGAACATTACAACACCATAAAATTATACTTTTATGGTATTTAGAGAACTGATAAACTAGGTTTATTTTTTTTTTTATTTTCTCTTTTTAATACATAAGTTCAAAACTTCATTTTCTATGTGTCTTTGCAATAGTGTTTTAGCCAGTGTTGCCAAAAATGTTCACTGTGGACTACCTCACATTGTTACTCAATTGTGCAAGGTATTCACGCAGTTCTTTTGCAGCTTGGAATCTACCATATCGCTTCTTTGGGTTGGCACACTCATCCAGCAAGGCCTCAAGTCGGCCATCTTTGGCAATTTCAGCTGGGGGGTCATGAAGTAGTCCTCCAGAAGTGCCACGCCACGTGGCATGTCTTGATAAAAGGTTCTGACAAATAGCATAGTAATTGTGGTCCACAGTGACACGAGCACAAAGAATCTCTTTTGAGAAGGACAGACAAGCTTCTTTATCACAGTCATCAAATTTGCTTTCATACCATACATCCCAGTTTTCAGGTTTATCTGTGAAATATAAGGAGACAGTAAAAAAAAAAGTGAGAGGAGAAAAGAGCATACGTGTGTATACAATCAGAACTCAATACACAGCAAACTGGTAACATTTAAACTACACACCAACTTTGTTTAGATGAACTCTTAAATGTTCTAGTCAGATTGCATCTGACAGTTTCGTATATCCTTCTGCTGAAATGGTCCTGGCAATACAAAAAATAAGGGAAAGAAAGAAAAAGGGTAAAATAGATAGCAAAGAGAGGGAAGAAAAAAACAGCACACCAAAATACATGAAATCTACATTCACACACATACCCAGAGGAAAAAATGTAGCGCACACAAGTACAAGGGAATGATCCACAGCTAAAGTTGAGAGAAAAAACAAACAAGCAACCTGATTTATTTTAGCAACATAGATTTGGGTTCTCCAGTTGCCCTGCGATCTAACACTGGCAAGTGGTCTACCAAAGAAGAAAAAACAAACATTGGAAAGTAATTGCCATAAACTTATGAAATATTATCTTCCAACTTCTTTCTTTAGACATAGAGTAAATAAAAAGTGCATATAAAAAAGCAGATGCATTACATATCTTTGAAGAAAGAAAAAAAAAAAATCAACAAAACAAATGATGTTTCCATACATGTATAAACCCTTCCTTATATACACTCAAAAAGTTATCGAAATTCGAAGGTGTAACTAGTGGTCTTGTCACAAAGCTTTCTTTAACTTAAAACCCGATTTACAGAAAATACCTTATACAATAATAATATGTAAAAGGTTACTAAGTGTGAGATCTCCTGCGTTCTTACCACCTTTTCTTAGAAAACTTTCATCTTAAGTCTCTAGATTACTGCCAGCTTTGAGAAGAGGTCCTTATCATGGAATCTCATAGTTTTGCAGATCTCTTTTAGAACTGCGATGTACAAAGAAAAATGTATCTGTGTTTGGTAGTCTCTGAGGTATTGGTCTACTCCTTTATGGTGCACTGCGAGCCAGTCTAGAAAAAAAAGCATACTGAAGGATGACTAAATAGCTAAAACTATAAAAATATAATGTAAATTTTGTACAATGAACAACAAACTCAAAATGGAAAAAAGACAGCAAAGGAGAATGGGAAAAAAGTTTTTCAGCAAACTCAAATATGATATCCCCCACAGAGTACAATTAGATATTACTGTACAGTGCATTTGGACAGAAGGTACATACTCAAATATCTAAACAGGCATATTAATCACTCTAGATAGAGACTGTTTAATGAAACTTGCCAGAAGATTAATGAAATCAGTATTAAATGTCAAGTTTATACAAAGACTGAGAACTTTCTCGTGTCCTCATTTGTTTTGTGTTCTTGATTAATTGTTAGATTACAAATCATGCAGCAAAATCCTAGTTAGATCCAAATTAATCTGAGAACTATAGAGAACAGATGTAAGCATGACACTTTCAGCACTCAGCTTCTGCAAGATGCTACTTGCTGCTGTTCCATGTACACATCAGCTTTTTCAGAGTTCATTTGGTTACCTTTGTGACCGAGCAATTCAGACACGGTCCAAAAGTCAAAGTCTTAATTAATATTATTTTAAGAGGATGGAAAAAGAATTAAAAAAAAGTTTGTGTGGCCCATAAGTACTAGAGTAAACGTACTGCATATCCAATGCATTAAAAGGTTTTCTTGGTAGGCTCAGATAATTTTAATCTAAGGTCCTTGAGAATGTATAATAAATCTAATACAAAAAAATAAAACAAAAAAACCCACCCAAAACCCAAAACCCCACACCACACAAAAAGCCCCCCCAAAACATATTTCCTTGTAGAAAAGCATGTGGATAGGAAATACAGTCTCGAAGTTCATTCAGCAGTACAGCATATGAAGTCTATTTGCAAAGCTTAAAAAAAATCCATTCACCCAAAGCAAACTGGAATCACTTGGCCTACTGCCATGAACTCCTGCAGAATCTAGGGTTTCATGTTCAGTGTCTCTAGCCCTCAGGTCTGTAGGTTTTCCTTATAAGCTCAAAAGGAATATAAACCCATGTAACACCACTTTGTCAAACATCTCTCCTGCTGCCACTGCTTTGAGCTTTTACAGTTGACAGAAAGACGAATGAACTTTCACTGTTCCCATCTGGAAACAGCACTAAAATCACCCATTCCTGCAGTTCCATTATTACAGAGCACCTACCTGAACAACCGAACCAGAGGCAGGCTATGTAACTAAGGCAAAGTGCGGGTAAGACTGTCCTGTCATTCACAGAAAACAGAATGGCAAGACTTCTGTCCTTACAGATGTCTGGAAAAGACAAAAGGAACCTCTCTCTTCTAGCTGAGGTAGACAAGTCAGTCAGCCAGCCCATCTATCTGTCCGTCCGTCTGTACAAACCCAACCAACATCCAGACCCTCTCCTCCCACCCCAACCTCTCCATTTAAAGCAGAATTACAGAGATTAAAAGTATATGTAAATCAAGTTCAGGTAAGCTCAACCCTTCATAAAATTGACAAATTGGCCAAGTTAATTAGTAGTCTAATTGCAGAAGAAAGCTAATTAGTTTGTTAATTAGTAGTCTAGTTATAAAGCTAACAAAATGGGTATTTAGCAACTACACGTAGTTTAAACATCATGCTTGCAGAGGAAGAAGAGACATGGGGTGAGGGGAGAGAAAGACAACACTTACTCTGTCTGATTAACCTTTTGTCTGCTACCAGAACGTTTTCTGCATCTACAATGATAACTTTCCCATCTCTCGGTCCAACTGCAAAGTTGTCAAAGCTGACATCAAGGAGGTAGAGTGCAAATTCAAAGTCATTATTTGTCAGCTGCTCAGCTATTTCCATCAATTGCCAGGCCAGATCCACTCGTTTCTCCCATGGTGCATTAAAGTAACTCCACAGCTCTTCTCCCACGTAATTGACAGCCACCATTCTTCCGCATGCTCCTAAGTACTTTGCGAACGGCCAACCCTCATCAGATGGAAAACTCTGTATATAAAAAGATTTTTAAAAATTTTCATTAATACAAAACAGCTTAGATCTTAACAGGTTGTTCAATAAAATGTAGGAAAGACACCTGTAAATACCCACCAACACTACACTTCCATATACTTCTAAGTTTTTGTGTTGGGTTTGCGTGGCAAGGTT